GAGAAGTGACTAAAGGAGAAACAATGACACTAAGATATAAAGCTCAAGATAAATGAAGCATATAATTCTAGCATTACCAATGCAAGAAATTGAGCATAAGGAAAGAGGGGAAAGTAAATATACTTACGTGGAGGTAATAAATTCTTCATAGAAGAAGTAGTCGATAATATACAGCTGCAATAAATTGAGAAAATAAGAAGATATAACTGTATAATAATGGAATTTACAAATACACAAAAACATAGTGCTATTAACTTACTGTACAAGATACTTATCCAAAAAAAAAAAAAAAGGAACTTACGGCACAAAATAGCTGGTAGAGAACCATGGATCGGTTTAAGTTGCCTTCTTGAATACATTTTGCAAGAACTGAAAGATTGATAAGTAACCATCCCATCATTCCAGCTCTAACAAAGAAAAATCTACAGAAGAAGGTTTCATTACTTAACAAGCACATGACAATACATTCAAAAGGTTTCATGACATTATATAATAGCACCAAAACAAGCATCAGATTAAGAAAATGAGCAGAACGCTGAGATAAGATACATACTTGAGATCAATGCCCATGAATTGAGGATTAAGCTGTATCCCAAACCACCTATTGAGAAAGAATAGTGCAATGCATCAAATGGTGGTTCATGAAAAGTAATGAGTAGCAAACACACATGGAATGCAATAACAGTGTAAAAACATATATCACTAGAAGAACAAGAGTCTGATAAGATCACACACATTTGAGAAGCACAAATACTTATCAAGAATTAGAAGCATATGTACTCTAGACAAATACTTACTAAAAAGATGAATAAGAATTGTCCACAGTTTACTCTAAAAGCTACCAACAAAAACCAACTCATGATCACTCAGCAGCATCAATTCAAATCTTGATCAGCAAGGCAAGTGATGTTGGATATAAAATGAATAAGCAGAGATGGAGAAAAGACATATCTCATTAATATTCAAATTCAAGTCAAAAGGTAAAGCTAACTTCAATTAAGCAACAATCAATTGAATTACCAGTCATGGATTAAGTTCCTGGTTACATGAGGCTTCAGAGATGAGCTGCGATCTCTGGACTTGCATCCAAAAACATAGAGTGCCAAAGTTGCCTTGCATTTATGGCATAGAGAAATTTTAGGAGAAAATATATTGTACATTTACAAGGGAAAGAGATTTAAAAATAAAAAAATAAAAAAAATAAAAAAAAAACAGACTTTTTAGTAAATGAAGTTCACACATGTTGAATGGTTTAAAATCAACTTAGGCTAGTTGGCCATGAATGACTTAAAGATGGTGCTAGGTGGCAATAGAAATATGAATTTCTCTAAAGAAACTGTTACAGATCTAAATTTCACTGCATTGGGGCAAATAATGAAACCAAGAAGTGGAGACTGAAACTTACCAAAAAACTGAATATAAATGTTGTAGACAAAAGCTCAAGCCCTCTGTCTGCTATTGCCTGCAAGAATTAGGAGGACATAAAGTTGCAAACTTATTTGAAACAATCAAATATGAAAATCTGAAACAAAATGTTCCATTTGATTCAAAGTTTAAGTGATTGTAGCATATCTGAGAGCTAAGATAAAAGCTCGCATGATTTAAATGGCATGCTTATAGGACTATAGGAGACCATCAAAGTTCAGTGTACAAGGAGTAGATGCCACTTTTAAGCAATACTAACTTTCAAGTTTCATTGCACTTGACATTGGCTCTGGTAGACAAACAAAGTATGTTGCTTTCAAACTGTAAAAACTTCCAGAATATGTTCTAAGAAGGCAATATCTACAATCAATCTAATTACAAAAGTAAATGGATTAAAGGAATAGTAGTAACTAGTAACTATACTAGGAAGAATAATTTGGGCATTCTATTTCAACAACACTTCACCAATGACTTCATGTTCCAATCCCTATGGGTCTTAATATACAATCAGTCTAATTACAAAAGTAAATGGAATAGTAGTAACTAGTAACTATATTAAGAAGGAAGAATAATTTGGGCATTCTATTTCAACAGCATTTCGTCAATGACTTCATGTTTCAATACCATGTTACAAAAATAGGTATTAATTACTTCATCTGATTTAAGCTCCAAATTGTATCATTTTCTCAGAACAAATCAGCACAATTGGTAAGAAGCTAGGATGAGCAGATGTTATAAACAGAGAAACTCAATTACTATATGCTTGCAAGATCGAGGATTTATCATCTGCTTAAAACAAAATCAGTGAATTACTTACAGTAGGCGATACAAGACCCATCCATGCTCCAAACCCAAGTAGCAAAACGAACAGAAGAAGCGATAACAAACCTAAAATTCAAGAAAATTCACAAATTTCAATAATAATAAAAAATTCCACTCAAGCCAAAGTATAATATATTACACAAGTATGTACCATTGCAACGATAGTGGAGGCGAGTGCCATCGGACAAGGTGACGCCGGGAACGAGCTTTCCGGGAAGAAGAGATCCAACAATTGCCAGATAAACGAAGAAGGCGAGTAGCATGGCAGCCTAATTTAGCAACACCATTAGATATATATACACATTAATACATACATACAATAGAGAGGGAAAGTAAAGGAAATGGCAGAGACCGAAGTCCACGAAGGGAGTAGAGCGTCGAGCAGGTGATTGAGATCCATCGCCAGATTCAAATTTTCTGTCTCACTATCAACTATCAACTCACTCAGCGTCTCAGAGACCTTATAGTCTGCATTCTGTAACTCCACTAGACATTCAAGATATTAAAATGAACAATAAGCTATGTTGTTACTTTTTTTCTTTTTTTTTTTTTTTTTTTTTTTTAGGTAGATGATTTTAGTAAAAAATATTTAGAGTTAATTTTACAATTACTGTAAATTTTTTAATTTATAGTATTTATATAATTAATTTATTAATTTTTAACTATTTTTAATTATTGATTTATTTGGATGGATGGACAAAATTAATCACCAACTACAATTATTATATTTAAGGAAAGAGATAAACCAACTTAGATTGTCTATAACTTATCAGCTCATACATAAAAGTTGATATTTGAACTCATAATTTTATGATTATAAATTTGTATATGTAATGAATCATAAAACAAAAGCAATAAAAAGAAAGAATGTAGAACATAATTGCAGGGGAAAGAAGAAGTGCATAATTATATGGAGAGAAGAATAAGTGCAGTGAGGGAAGAAGAGAAATTTGAGAGTTTAATTCGTACTTTAAGCATAATACTTCAGCATAATTTATTCCATATTTATACTAGAAAGAAAGGAAATATCTAGTGACAAATTAACAATTCGATCCAATGAATGAAACGGTGTCGTTCTTGGATATTATTTTTTATGTCGGTTATACCGATTGGCTCTACTTCTTGTTCTTTCCTTATATTTCTCAGGGTGTTATATAGTACATTTTCCTCTAACAGATCCTTGTTTATAATGATCAAATACGGCAAATTGAATGTACTACCATACAAGGGTAATTAAAGATTAAATTGTCCATCATCGAGTGCTAATTCTTTGTCAATTTGTTCAAAATCTATGCCTCCTTTGTTGCACTATTAAGGTATATCATATTATTGTAAGAACTCCATAACTTATGAACAAGACTTCTCAGCCCAGTTAGAACAAGAATATGTAAGCACCAAATGCCTTTTCAACTCTCTTTCCAAACCAGATTAACATTCCTGACAACTCCTTTAATTTCACCATTCCTTGATTCCTTCCTGGAGGATTTAAAGTCCCACATCCAAGTGGATAACACTCAATCAATGTAACCCCTTTTTCTTGTTTTAAAAACAATTCACCAGGGACAATAAAAGATATGTAAGTTTTCCATTATTTCACCATCCATAACTACTAACCCATCTATTTGTACATCACAACTATTTAAGTCACCATCCTTGTGTACATCTATAACTCACATGGGTGATTTCTCTATTATAACATCGTCATCAAGCACTTTATGGATCTTAGGATTACTCACCTTGTTCTTGTTTTTGCCGACTTCAAATTTCACCAGTTGTGGAGAAAACTAATCATGGGAAGCTATTGAAGGTATTCAAACTATGGAACATCTATATGTTGGATCCATCACTCGAGAAGCAAGTTTGTTGAGTCCGATCACCTCCAAACATCTCATCTTTCCAATTAGACATCGTAAACTCCATATGAGCCATGAATCTCTCTACCAAATCTTCAGTGGCCTGGAATTTGCATATTAATTTAGATGTTCAAATTTAGTCATCTAAGCTTCTAATTTACTCACTCGAGCTTCCATAGATTAGGGCTCTGATACCACTTGTAATGAACCACAAAACAAAAGCAAGAAAAAGAAGAAGAAATAACATATTTGCAAGGGAAAGAAGAAGTGTAGAATTGCAGGGAGAATAAGAAGAAGTGTAGAGAGGGAAAAAGAGATAAATTCAGACTTCAATTCGTATTTCAAATATAATACTCTAGTACAATCTATTTCCTATTTATTTATACCATAAAGAAGGGAAATATCTAGTAACAAATCACCAACAAATTAATAGCCCCAAGGATGAAACGTCATTGGATATTACTGTTTTACCTGTTGGCTCAGCTTATTGTTTTTTTTTTTTTTTTTAATGATGTCTCGGGGTGTTACAATATCATTAGTCATCTTCACTAGGTTATCTCAATGCTTTTTTTTTTTTTTTGTTATTATGTGTGTGTGTATATATAATTGAATTTTGTCATCTATTATATATTTATATGTTATCATTTAAAATGGGTGGTTGCAAGATTTGAATATGGATGGTGGAAAATAAAAATATACCTTATAAAAAAAGCCACTTGCTACACTACAACTATAGATTTAGCATTTTGACGTGCCATAGTCTGCGAAATACGATATCGTAGCCTTCTTTGTAATATTGGTTTCTTAAAAGTTACAGTAAAACCCTGGTTTCAAAAAAAAAAAAAAAAAAAAAAAAAAGTTAAAACCTCGTTTCAAAAAAAAAAAAAAAAAAAAAAAAGGTTAAAACCCTTGTTTCCCTGCCCACTTACGTCCTAAAACCCTAGCCAGCTCCAATTCTCTCTAAACTGAACTTCCTTGCTTTCTCAGTCGCTGAAAATGGAGTTTTGGGGTAACACTCTATCTGTTTATTGAAATTTCTTTTTTTCCTTTCGCTATTATTACATGGTGTTGTCTATATTTGTATTATACATGAATGTGTTGTGGTGCGCGAAATAGTCTATGGTTCTATGCTGAGTGTGACTGTGCATTGGGTTGTCATCTGTAAATTTTGATTGTTTAGCTTACTATTTTTTCCCTCTGTTTCTACATTGTTGAGGCAAATATGTGTTTTCTTTAAGAATGAGTATTTCGATTGCTGATTGATTGTTTAAGTACGTGGATAGTACTGCTGCAATAATGCTATGATTACAAACAGAGTTGGATACGTTACATTTCATTTCTGTTTTATATCTGTTACCGAAAAATTCTGTTGGAGAGTGGGGCTTAGGATTACTGCATACTGCATATTTAAAGTGAAATGAACTTCATCTGTTCATTTTGTTGTCATTTTATCTGCTCATAGGTAATAGTTAGTTGTTTTAGTGTTCTGTGATTCAATATGCCTTTGATTCTGATATCCTACTATAAGTCCATAACCAATGCTTTCAATTGTACCACTGAGCAACTGTACATTATTGGAACTTGATTAACATCTTTGATGTGCAGGTGTTGAGGTAAAAAGTGGAGAGCCTCTTTCTGTAAAGCCTGGAGATGGCATGATCTTGCACCTTTCACAGGTGCACTCAACTTTACAAAAGTTTTGTTATTGTCCTTTTTATTTTTATTAATTTTTCTTGTTGCATAATATACAAATTGCACTGCAGGCTAATGTTGGTGAGGTGAAGAAACTGCATGGTTCTGAATCTGTTTGCTTGTTTGTGAATGTTGATGGGAAGAAATTAGTTCTTGGAACTCTTATCTCAGATAAGCTTCCCCAGCAACAATTTGACTTAATTTTTGATAAAGACTTTGAATTATCACACAACTGGAAGAATGGAAATGTCTACTTTTATGGATTCAAGGCTCAAAATCCAGTTGCTGAATATCCTTTGTCTTCATTTGCATTTGGTTTTGTTTTGTTTTTAAATTTTGAATGCCCTCTTTTTAGTTCAAAAACTGCTTAGCTTGCTGTTCATCCTTGACTTTATTTTTTGATGGTTACTGATGATGATGATCAAGAATCTGGTAAGTTTGTGATCTTACAAGACAAGCTATATATTTCATATTATGGATTTACGGACTGACGTCAAGCGTTTTCTTTTGTTTAGATTCTGATGAGGATAGTCCCCTCACCTTCAAAGGTATGAAAGCTGCTGTTCGTGCATTTATGAGTTATGACTGTGATGTTCATTTATCAGAAACTGTTTTCTTTTGAATTACTTCTCAGCAGCAGAACCTGAGACTGTTGTTAAGCCAGAAAAACAAGCTGGTTCAGAGAAGTCTGATGTTGCAAAGAGTTCTGCGCCGGATAAGAAAGTGAAAATTAAGGAGCCACATAAAGATGCGAAGGCTAAGGAAGATGAAAGCAGTGATGAGGATATGGGTTCTGATGATGATGATTTGTCTGATGAAGATATGGATTCCTCTGATGGTGAGGTATGGCGTGTTTACCCATTAAGTATGTGTTTCAGACTAATTAGCTTGACTTTAAATCTTTTTTCATCTTTTTCTTTCTCAGTTTACTACTATATATGGACAAGTTTTTATCTCCCAGATGCTATATTGTGACTTGTACTACCACTTCATTGGTCAACCCTTTGGACACATTTAGATTTAAGTGGCCTTAATTGCTAAACTATTTGTGCCATCTCTTAGTATTTCCTGTTTTCGACTGAAGTTATTTTCTTATTTCTAAATTGATGTTAGTTCTTTTTTTGTGTTAGCATGTAAAAACAAATTTCCATAGTGATTTTATATCTGTTCTCCAAACTTTTTAACTGTTTCCTGGAGTCTCTTGTTGTTGACTTTGTAACCAAAGTATTCACTATGTGGTTGCATGTAGTAATGTTGAGTGATTGAATAGTTTGCTTGATTAAAACTTAAAAGTGCGTTAGCAGTGTGAAACAGTAGATTTTGTATTTGTTTGTGAAGCTTCTAAGCCAGATGCAAGTTTGGGTGCCATTGACATTTCTTAGGATTGTCAGTGACTTGTTATGTTCAACTATTTCTCACTAAAACATTTGAATGCACTCAGGATGAAGATGAGAGTGATGAGACACCCAAAAAGGTATGGTAGAACTCATATCATGTTTTTTTAGGATTTCCATGGGCAGGGTGAAAAATAAGTGAGTTTACCTTTAAATCTGTGATTTGTTTCTGTTAGGTTGAATCTGGCAAGAAAAGGCTTGCTGAATCTGCTAAGAAGACACCTGCTTCTGATAAGAACAAGAAAGCAAAAATGGAAACTCCTCAAAAAACTGGTTAGTCTCTTCTCCCTGCTTTATCCTCAATGCACTGAAAATTTCTTGTATGATGGTTTTCCCTTTCTTGAATGATGCACACCAATGTCGTTAAGGCGAACTTTCAAGGCAAGGCACCAGCCGACTGCCTAGGCGACAACAAGTACTAAATTATGCAATAGTTTAAAATCAAATCAAGTTCATAAATCATAAACCAACATCAAACAATACTAAATGTCAATACTCAATCATCCATCATTTAAATCCCTTGCCCTTCACCACCAACATTATGACCCTCACTCCCCATTTGCTCATCATCTTCAACATCATCACCATCAATATCTTCATCATCGTTTGGAAAAGGATCTTCATCTTCTAATTCGTCCATCAACCCTCTTGCCTCACCCATTTCAGGGGAGGAGAGCTTGTTACGCGTCTGGTCTCCGCCTACCGGACGCCTAGGCGTTGCCTTAACAACAATGATTCACACCACACAATTAACCTTCTCTTTAAGAAGGTTCTGAATTAATTTGCAATTTGGTACAGGTGGCAAGAAAAGCAGCGTGCATGTGGCTACTCCTTACCCTTCAAAACAGGCTAAGACTGCTGCTAACAAGCCAAATCAGTCAACTCCAAAATCAGCTGGCTCTCATGCCTGCAAGTCTTGCAACAGGTACATGCTCACTTGTAGCTATAAAGTGTCCTTTTAATTCTTAAGTTTGATCAGTGTTGTGTGGTTATACATTTTTACCTTCCATCAATTGCAGGACTTTTGGTTCTGAAGGTGCTCTGGATTCCCATACAAAGGCTAAACATAGTTCTGGGAAGTGATGAGTATACAGAGAGCTTGAATGTCTCTGCATTGCTTATAGTCCTGGCTTACTCATTAGCTTTTTGTGGTTCACCTAATGTAAAGGCCACTCTTGTTAGTCTTTTAGCTGTAGCATATTGGTACTGGAGAGTTGTCAGGTGGGCTGTGCTTGGGTTAAACAGGATCTAAAATTATACTCATCTCTGCTTTATTTTGACTTTGATCTGATTTTTATTTTATTTTGTTTTATTTTATTTTTGTGTGCAGTGTCCCTAGTTTCAAAGTCTGCTGGTGTTTTACTTATGATATCTCTAGTGTGGGTTTGAGAATATAGTCCTACATTCATGAACACTAATATATGACTGATGGAATGAATGATGTATAGGGATATCAAGTTGGAGATTTGAATTAGACCAGCTACATCTTAAATAAATAAATAAAAAATAAGTAATTCAAGTCAGTCATTCTGGATTAGTGTTCACTAATGGTGTAATTAAGATGTAAGTGACCCCATTTAAGATGTAGCTGGTGTAATTAGTGAACACTAATAGGGTTTGAATTGTTACATTATGTTCTTTAGTCGAAATTTGAAATTGGAGATCTGAATTAGATTAAATGATGTTTTAAATCTATAATTATTAATGTAAATGTGCTAATTTGTTAAAAGTAAAAATTTAGGAAATCAACTATAAATGTTAAATCGCTTACTTGATGATCTAAAGTTTTAAGGTTAATGTAAAATTTTTAAATCCGTAGTAAAATTAAGTCAATTAATTCAAGCCTAATAAGCTTGATTTTTTTTTTTTTGGGTACATTTGCGGCCCTCAAAGAAGGTGTTAACTAATTCTAAGGAAAGGAGTATTCATAGCATCCGCCTTAAGAAAGCCGTTCAAATCAGGATGAGCATCTAAAGTGAGGGTGACCGAAATTTGCAAGCCAGTCCGCACACTTGTAGCCTTCTCTTTCCATATGAGTAGCCCGAAGATTGTTGAGTGCCTAATGACTTGAATGTATTGCGTTGAAATTGAATGAGTTGGTTTAATTGACATACTTAATAGTGTACTCAAGTCTAGTTTAAATAAGTTGATGACTTGAATGTATTGGGTTGAAATTAAATGAGTTGGTTTAATTGACATATCTAATGGTGTACTCAAGTTGAATTACGTGTAAACTATTTGGTTAAATTTAAACTCAAGTCACTTATTAAGTAATTCAAACTATATATATATATATATATATATATATATATATAGTTTGAATTGAGCTAAACCTTATAAAAATTTATGAGCAAAATTCAGACCAAAATTTTTACTCATGTCATTATAACTACTTCTATCTCGAATTTAAGTTTCTGCTAACTTGAACTCAGCTTGGCTCTTTGCACCCATACTCAAGTTGCTGAATAATCTGGATGCTTTCAGCCATCTCTTGGCTGCATGTGAATTTGCCTTACGTGTCGCAGAGGCGGAACAAAGAAAACAGCAACCATAATCTTTTTTTTTTTTTTTAATGAACATTAGTATGGCAAATTTTTTGTTAGTTAAAAAAAATGTTAAATTTCTCCTTATTTTACCTACTTTTATCTTTGGTAGTCGGCTTCCACCTTGCAATCAACTCCAACAGCCCAGGTAATGCTGAACACCATAAAACTTAAAGAATGGCAATGATAATTTAATAAATGTCCTTCATAGTAACTTTAACCATGACACAAAGAACATAGTTTTTACTTGTACTCAGACCAGACAATCTTAAATAACTGTTCATCTATTCACCCAACACATAATGAAAACTTCTAAGAAAAGTTACTAGTAAGTTCTTTCTAGAGAAGACTTTCTTGCTTCTTATAGGCTTGGACCAAACAAGCACCTATAAGCATAACAAGTGATGTGTCTCCCAGAATCAAATGGCAGTGCTTTAAGAAATAAAACATTGACAGGCCCCCCGGCCTTCACTTCTCAACCAGACATCACACATGTTGATCGTTGAATCCTCAACCTTTTTTTCTGCAGGGAAGACATCCAACCTGTATAGAAATACAATAGTGAGCTGCTAAAGATGAGGCACCATCACTGGAAAGCAGGAACCTTGAACCTGCACAACTTGGCAAATCCATTAGATTAAAGCTTTCTAATAAGAGTAATTTGATTTAATAATTGTTATTATTATAAATGTATCCCCCCAAAAGCGGCAAAATGAAATAACCCTTGGTTAGGGGGTAGGATTTTGACTCCAAAAACGAGGAAAATGTGTGTGCCCTGTCACTCCCTTGAAATATAAACTAGAAATCTGGTTTCATCCAAATCAATTGAAGTGGGTACAGACATACACTACAATCAATTGAGCATTTATGGACTCAAGTTATAATTGGAGGAGATTTAATGAGTTAAGCTTCCATAAGTTTCTTTGACCCCCTATTAAAATCAAGTTAATGCTCTTTAGCATGTAATAGAAGGAAAAGTATAAAGGGGTTTTGCTTTATTCAATATCACAAGTCAGTGGACCTGTACTCCACCTGCACAGTGGAAAATGGGCAGTGAGCTATATTTTTCAAAATAGCCTATTTTGTGGCCAAAAAAAAAAAAAAAATCTTTGGAGCATAAAAAGGTCAAGATCAAATGAAGAGAACACATTATAAGACCAAACTAGAGAAAATTACCAGTAGTCATAACTTCCATTCTCAAACTATTTCTGTTGGGGATAATCATCATAACTCTGTTCTTGGTAGTGCTCAGCACCATCGCTGCCACCAGTTTCAAATGTGTCAAAATCATTGTTTTTAGAAGAATTCTTTTGTTCTCTTTCCCTATTCCACTGCTCAATCTTTGCCCTTCTCTCCTCACTACCTTCCCTAGTCACGGCAGTATTATCATTCTTTCCATAATCTTTCTGTTCCTTTTCCCTATTCCATTGTTCAATCTTTGCCCTTCTCTCAGCACTGCCTTCCCTATTTCTCCTACCTACAGGACTTGTACTTTGTCCACCTCTTCTTCTGGGACTTCTGCTTCTAGGTCTCCACCCCCTCTCAGGGTGACGATGATCACCTCTCCTATGACCACTATGTGAATGTTCCTCATGACCACGATGTCCACGAGGGCTACGGCTTCTACTATGGCTGTGCCTTTGCCTGCTATTCCCAAATAGCTGCCGCCTCAGCTCTCTTCAAATGAAAAGACAACCGATCAATCATCAAATACTTAAAAGGGAAAGAGCCACAGATGATATCTTTAGTAAAGAGAAAGAGAAAGACATACCGGCTTATCTTTTTCAGATGCATGAAGTTGCAGTAGCCACCTCGATTGCATACATTTTCCTCATACTGTCTACAAGTGGCTTCACGAAAATCAGTCACTGGAGAGAAGTCAACAATAATGGGACGTCCTATATGTGCAATTATCACAATGATCAGTGAAAAAATAAAAGCATCATTTTGGTTAGTAGAAATGGTTATGATACAAAGAACCTTGGTATAAGTAACAGTAATTGTGTGTTAAAGCAAACAATAATAAATGTCTTTTGATGCTAAACCCCCTGAATAATCTTTTGTTTTCCCACACGTTACCCTCCGACAGAAACCATCTGAACTGCCCTATTCTGGTTAAGTTTAAAAAAAATAATGTTTCCTGAGATGTATCATGATTTCAGATCTTGCAAACAAACAGTTGTCACATATTTTCTAGTGAAATTACTCAATTAGATAGTCCAATGTGGAACACAAGTGAATAAGAAAAGAATACAAGTTATGAGTAGTACTAACCTGCATAATACCTTCCTGAGAGACTTTGAAGAGCAGTTGCAGCATGCTCTTCTTCCCTAAACTGAACATATACATTACCCACCTAAAAGGAAGAAAAAACAAAAAACACATTAAAAGAATAATTTTTTATTTTAACAAAACCTTTTTCAAACCAGAGCTGTAGACATATATACCATGTGGTCAGCTAAATTATCACAGATGTTAAGATTCTCAATCTCTCCATGCTTGCTAAGCTCCTCAAACAAATCCTCGTAGAAGTCCTGTACGATCGTAAGGATCGCATGAATTAGAAATCTGAATACGAATTCAATTATATATCTATTCAAATTAGAGATATAATTAATAATACCTCGAAGTGGCGTTGGATCTTGCGGGGATCGAGAGGTTGGCCTTGGGGGTCAACGCCGGGTGTGATCATGTCGGGGCGTTGGTACATGTTGGAGAGGAGAAGGGTGGGGCTGATGCTAGGCTTGGTGTGAAGGCGAGAGCAGCGATCGCCGTGCCGGCAAGCACCTATCTTGAAGTAGAAGGGGCAGTTCACCCTGTCCTTCTCCGTTCCGAATATCGACGCCAAGTGCTCCGCCATTCTATACCGCCTGCTTTCTCTCTATTTCTATTCGATCTCTTCGATAATAATTCACCTAGCTTAAGAACAAAATTAGGGTTTCTCTATTTTTATAGCTATTTGTAGGATTTCCTTTCCAGGTAAATTAGGGCTAATCTAGTCACCACGACCAAACAGAATCTCGGACTGGCCTGGTTATGTAGCTAGGCACGTAGCCAACAGTTTTATTAATTTAATAATAAATAATATTTTTTTTATGCAGCACCAATATTAGTACTTTATATTAAAACTAGTTTTATACAGTTAATGTCTAATGTTTATAATTAAAATAAATATTTGAAAATATAAGATTATATATGAGAAGTAATACATAAACAATTTAATGTCGGATTTATTTATTTAAATATGTAACTCAGAGTATATGAATATAATGTAATATAGGAGATTCATTATAATTGTTATTAAAAAAAATTAGAATAAGGTCAAATAGGTCATCGAACTGCACACGATAATGCAATTAGACCACTGAACTTAAAAAACTAACAATTGGGTCCCTAAACTAACAAATTTTGAACAATTCTTTCAATTTGTAGGTTTCCAACAGGTCAACAGATCATCCTACCAAATTAATTATTTTTAAAAAAATAAAGTTTATAAATTAGTTATTTAAATTTAAAAAAAAAAAAAAAAAAAACAGAATCCTGCAAGAGACGTCTCCGGCCGGTTTCTTCGTCTCCGGTCGGATTCTGTTTTTTTTTTTTAATTTAATAATTAATTTTTAAATTTTATTTTTTTAAAAAATAATTAATTTGAGAGGATGACCTGTTGGAAACTTTCAAATTGAAAGAATTGTTTGAAATTAGTTAGTTCAAGGATCTAATTGTTGATTTTTTGG